CTTTCCCTTAGCAGAGAGATGAGCTGACCGCGGTGTGGAGGTTTCCTTTACGAGCCCTCTCTCAGCCTGTGCCTCTGGCTACGGAACCAGCCCTGACTGGCCAAGGGAGCCATCGGGTCAGATGGACTCCAGGGTGCCTAGGCATTTCTGAAAGACCCTGACGTAGTCAGTGGTGGGGAGGTAATAGCAGAGTGGCGTGTGCACGTGTGTAAAAACGCAGTGGACCTCCTGGCACATACTGTGATGTGAGATGGCTGTCCACAAGCTTTGGTCACCAGCTCCTGTTCTCACCGCGCTTAGCGTGTCTGGTGCCCGCGCTCATTCCCAACCTGCTCCATCTCTGTGGCGTTCATCTGCTGAGGGCAATCGCTTGTTTAAATTTGCTGCAAGTGGGGTCTTGTTCCCTCCCTTACCTGCGGCCATATGTAACGCAAGGCTCGTTTTGTTCTCAGGAGCTGTGTTCCAGCCCCCAGTTCATAGCCGGTGGAGCCACTCGCACAGACATCTGCCAAGGAGCCTTAGGTAAGGTGGGGGCAGAAAGCTGAGTTTTCCATGCAGGTGCTGCCCAGGACACCACAGTTTATACTAGGCTGTAACTCACTGTAAATAGATCCTTTTGCATTCTACCACCTCTCTTCATATCAAATCAGATCTTTCTTGCCTTTCCTCGGCAGCTGCAGGTAGGGACCGTGTGCGTTTGGCCGCTGAGCACAGCCTTGCTGTGTGCACCGAGCAGGGATGACACAGGCTGGTTTCCTGATGGCTTTTCTGATTGCTACCAGTTCCTTCCATGTCTGCATCCGTGTGCCTGAGAGTAGCTTGACTAATTTCTGCCTTTAATAGTCTGCTCAGAAAGGAAGTTGAGTGCATAGTGGGGTGTTTCTGCAGTGTGAGAGAGTGCTGCCCAGCAGGAGGGACCCCCTGAAACCTGGAAAGATGTGGTATGGAGAAAACAAATTATACAGAGTGATTCCCAGCTGCTCGCCAGCTCTCGAGGAAAACAAAACTGGAGTATTTCAGAAGGGATGGGCCAGCCTGTGAGCCCTCTGCTTTTGCCGTGGCTGCCACTTGGTTTGTGCGATGGCAGCCCCTGGGTCAGCCACTCCGGAGGAGCCCCAGGAGCTGCAGGGGAGCCCCAGGGGACAGCGGGAAGCGGGTGGCTTAACCTGGCTGTGCATGCACAGCCATCCCCGTCTCGAAGCCTCTCTCCTGCCTTGCCCTCCAGAAGGTTTTAGGTGAGTGTCTCCGTGCCCTTCTCCTGGAAGGCAGTATGGAGGCTGGCGAGGAGGACAGCTCTGGGGAAGTGAGAAGAAAAAAGCTGAAGTGGAAGCAGTGAGGCTCCTGTATTATTCCATAACTGTAGGGAGAGGGGTTTAGATTAGACTGACAGCATGGTGGAGGGAAAGCTCTCGGTATAGGGAAACATGACTAATACATGCCGAGTGTTGTGCTTTTGCAGCGGGCTTGGCAAAGGAACGAAGTTCTGTTTGCTTTTCATCAGCATAATATTAGCCACATTGCAGCTTCTTAGTTTCTAGTCCCGCTGCTGCTATATGTGTTTTCAAGTCCAAAAATACAACGGATAGGGAAGCTTATTTCACATGCTTCGTGCTTATGTTTTCTTTCAGAAGTTATTCAGGTTGGTGCTTTAACAACTAGATACAATTTGTGTAAAAAGCCCTGACCATAAAAAATACTTGGATTGTAAATTTAGTTCTCCTCATGCCCCAATATCATCTGTGGCATGGATTAGGCTCCGTTGTGGCATCGGTGAAGTCCTTGACATGTCACCAGCTTCCTTCGTGTGTTCTCTCTCTGCCTGATATCGTGTCTCCCACCATGACTGCTTTGGCATAAAGCACATCCCAGTGCTCAACACACGTGCCAGACATCTGTCCTCTGGTTTTTTGGGGTTTTTTTATTGTGCAACTTCACAGCTAGGGAGTAGTTCAACGTGAAATGTCAGTTTATTTTAATACCATTTCAACAGCTGGCATTTTGCATAGATGCTCATTTCTGAAGGCACATAGTTGCTTTCTGCCTTCTGCAGGCTTCCAGCTTTTCTATCCAGATGTTGTGGCAGCAAGAGCACTGTAATGAAAGATTTGTAACTTAGTTTTCAAGTTGTGGAGTTGCTGTTGCTGATGCCAAACCTTGTTTTAAATTGATGAAGTATTTGTTATCTTAATGGTCTTTGGACCAGTCAGATGTTCTCATGAGGTTATACGGTACCACCAAAGGATATGAACTGATTCAGCTTGTATTAGTTTATCTCCTGAATAGGAGAAATTTGAATAGGAGGTTGCTAGTGTTCTTGTTTACATTACTGTTTTCACCATGACTAACTACTGCTATGACTCGCCCCACTATCTTCTTACGAATCTGGCCAGGATTTTGGTATTGCATGACAGTTTAGTGGTTGATTAAAAAGTAGATGCTATTGATCTTTTCTCTGTGTTGCCATTGAGTTACTAAGAGCCTGTATTGAATCTCTGCCTTTTCACACAATGAGGCTAGCAGATGTGCTGTACAAATGCTTTTTTTTTTTTTTTTTTTTTTCCCCCTCCCTTTTTTACCCCCACCTTTGTATTGTCAGGCACATACTGAAAGTGGGGATCGAAAATCCTCTGCCCTAGTGTAAGGCATGATGAAATAATGTCCTCACAATGAAGTGACACAAATGCGTTTAAAAATGTTTTTTTTTTTTTTTTTTTTTTTTGCCACTGCCTGTTCTGACACCAACATTTGTATCGATACATTTGGTTAAGGTTCCGTTTACTTTAATTTTGTGTGCTGACACTGATGTCCCGTCACGTTTTAGGATATCGCAAAGATTGCACTGGAAGATGTCAGGTGCTCTTGGAAACCTGTACTTTTTATTATATTGCTTTTTCCATAGGATGCTTTTGTAGTCTGTTTATCACCCAAAAGGCTTAATCACAAAGCAACAGACCTGTACCCAAGGGGAGTTTCATCTCTATTGCTAAGCCATTCGGAACATCTTAGAGTACCGCAGGGGCAGACGAGGCATCCAAAGCACACGCGCCCATCGCTGCTGCAACAGGCTTCCTGGCAGGGGACATGTAACGGAACAGCTCAGCTAATGAGCAGCGGTACAGATGTTCCTTTTAGCCCAGCAGTCTCTGGTCTGTGGGCCAGATGCAGCCTATAAATTTGTTTCATTGTTTTTGACCTGGACTATATGACACCGCAACGCATAAAAGGCATAGCTGATCATCAGTGCAGAAAAGGTTGTCCCCTCACCAAGGTGGCAGTTCTTTAGGTTCTCCAGACACCAAAGTTCTGCCCCTTGGGCTTTGGATTATCCTTTATTCTGTTTTTGCTGCTTTTTGGGAGAAACTTTTAAGGTGAGTATTTGGAGTTAGTTTTGCAGTATCAGATCTGAAGTCAGTGATGGTATTTGGCTAAGAATGGCAGCACTTGGGATGTGGTGACTCATTACAGCGGAGGGGAGGAACCCAAGCCACTGCGGAGAGGAAGCTTCACCCTTAACCGCCTTCTTTGGAGGGGATGTCACCATGGTATCACAACACTGGGGCGTACACAGTGCAGTGTCTCGCATCTGCTGTTCAGACACAGGTGTCTCCTCCTTACATAAAAATGTGTGGAAAAATAACGAATAGGATGAATTTAGAAAATTAGATGCATGGTTTTGCCATGCTGGCAACCGCTTTACTGTAGGTGGGTTGCTACAGCTTCACATTTCTAATGAGAAAACTTCCTGGAGTCCCATGGTATTAATGTAAATACATTCAGTAGTTGTTAATCTATAGCTATGAGTGTTTTAAAATAATGACATGTCTGTGATGGGCTGAATGTACGTTTTTCCTTTGACCCCATACTCTTACATGGGCTGTGCAGTGACCAGAGGAGCTGCCTTTAGCTAACACCCCTCCAGGCACTTCATGGGGGTGCTTTGCTTCTCTTTACTCTCCAGAATGGCCAATTTTAAGCCCTTATGCCTATTTATGCTTGCCTTGCAATTACATTTTTTGTTATGTTCTTGTTTATAGCTGGAGATTAGGTAAATGCAGAGAGGGATGTATAGAAATAAGTAGTAAAACATTGATAGCTGCAAAAAGGAAGCACGGCAGGAAAAAATAGTACTTCTTGTTAATATAAATAAACTCACAGCCTGATAATATTCCCTCTTCTGATAACCTTGTTCTGCCTATTGTATTGTGCATTTACAAAAATTCTCCATGATTAACCTAGTCTTGCTAACACTCCTTTCAAATTCTTCATATAAGTAACCTGTCTGTTAGCCTTCTCTTGGACTTTCCTTCTCTATTAAAGGAAAGTCACTGTCAAGAGCCTTACAAAAGTACCAGTTCTTATAATTAAGACTATTTGGTAAAGATCCTGCTCAGGCTTACTCAGTGCAGGCTGAAACGCCAGGTCATATCAGAAGATCTGTTCTCATCCAGGCTTTGAATTATCAGGTCTACTTTCAGTGATGACTGTTCAGAAAGGGAGAGACGATATCCTGAGTGCTGAGCACTTTTAAATGTGGAAGCCAAAGGGTGGTGTGTCTCCCATATATGCTGCATCTGCCTTTTAACCTGAAGAAGACCTTGCCCAGAGTTGTCCGAGTTAAGATTTATGTCTGTCTGACTCCAAATTCTCCTTAGAAACCAGTATAAAGTTCAACAGAGAGGTTTTACAACAATGTCCGCTGTTTCTTTCTCTTCATGTCTGCCTTGATGGGACAGCTAGAAAGTAAAGGAAGTTCTTTATAAACTCTGCTTATGGGCTTAGAGGTCCTCTGGGGGCAGTTTCTCCTCCTTGAACTTCAGTGCTTCTTGTCTACAGAGGAAACCTGACTCAAAGATGTATTATAGCATTAGAGGGTGTATGCTCTTAATCTAGATGCCTGACCAGCTTTATGACCAAGGCTTCCTGAACTATTGTGGTCATGTCTAGTTGTTCACTTATTCTTCCTGTGCTGCTCTCTGCCTGTCCAGCCCCTGCCTTGTTTATGGAATAGAAATGCTAATATATCTTTGTAAGAGTGGTGGGACAGCTGCTCTCTGAGCCAGACTTGCTACTACTTTAAATCAGCACAGTTTTTCTGAGGGTAGTAACACCAATGTCAAATGCTCTGGGGGTCTCTTGGAGTGGTCGAATTTGGTTGAGTAAGGCTGTGCAATGTGAGCTCTGGTTTATGCTGCAGGTTGAGCAATTGAGAGGAAAAACACTTCCACAGCTGACTGCAAACAAGGGGCGTAGGACATGCCTCCAGCTGTTGCCACCCACCTGATAGAGCATGCACAAAGTGCCTTCAGCTGTGCCTACATCTTTGTTGTAGAGGCCAGGAGCTACATGGTTTTACCCAGCTGTGCCTTAGGACTAGCACAGTGGTGCTGAGCAGGCCGAGTTGCTCTCTTTCTGGGTTTATCTAATTTAGCCTGAATAAGAGCACATATCTGCCTAACCACGTGAAGACATCCTATAGTCTAGGTAAGCATACTTGTGCTGGCTTTAGTCTACCTAGTGTAGGTCTAAGATGCCTGAGATTCACTTCACCTCTGGGTTGTGCCTGTCTGTAAAAGCCTTGCAGAGCCTGGGATGTGTGCCGGGGTTGTTCTGCTGCGGGTTATCAGTTATTTGTCCTCTGTGCTGAGATCAGGCTGGTTAACCTGTCCATTTGTATACTTGTGACTTGTTTCCTGCCTGTTACTAATGTCCAGGATGCTTTGAGGTTGCCTGTTTGTTAGAAGTTAAAAGTCTTACTAAGGCTTGCTAACTTTTCCCAGGTGTGTATGATTTTTCCTGCTGGAGGGACGGTGGCACCGCAGGGAGAATGGAGATCCCTTCTCTTTTCTTTCTTTTAGGATTTTGTTGATCTTAAAACCACCTATGAGCCAGTGGCTTGTGGGTGCTAGAAGGAGAATATTTGTGAGGGAGGCCAAGGGTTATCTGCCCACGTGCAGTGCTGGGGTGTTGATGGAGAGTGTATATTTACATCCATCCCCTTCTCCCACAATGTCTCTGGCATTTAATATTTCTACTGTCAAAAACATAATTACCCACTGCTCTCTTGACCCAGAAGAGCCCTGTCACAAGCTGTAACCTCCTTTAACTCAGTAAGACAACAGAAAGACTTTTTTGTCTGGCCTAATGAATTAATTTGCTGTGTGATGAGTACCAGTGGGAGAAAAACAATGAGGAAGGAGTGGAGACAATAAGATATTAATTCAGCCTCCACCCACAAGAGCTCCAGTCAAAGTGCCAGGGCTGTTCTCTACAAGGGAGTTGTCCCTTGGACTTGAAGAATGCCAACTCTTGTTCAGAAACTACCTGTTTTGGAGACTTAATGAAACACAGAGATCCTCAGTGCAGAAGGGATCTTTGGGCAGTCTCTCCCAAGTGCTTACCATGTTGCCAGGTTTGTCTGAAGACTCCTTTGGTCAAAACAAAAACAAAAACACACAAATAATTTCGTGCGGGCAGGCTGTGTATGGGAGAGCACAGATCTAAGCTGAGCTGAAATTGAAGTCCTGTTGTTGCCTTTTGACCAAAGCGTTTGTTTGCAGAGCCCTTTAGCGTCCTCCTCTGTAAGGAGAATTGCTGTGAAGGGTCACTGCTAAAGCCTTCACGTGGCTGGAGGCCAGAGGATCATACTGTTAATTGTAGATTAATCCATCTCAAAATGTCTCTCAGTATCTTCTGACCCCAGTCTTTTTCCCAGCAAGCACATTTGCTGTGCTTGACGGTGCTTCTGAATGCACCACGGCACCCGAGGGTGCACAGCTCCCAGGGAAGAGGGTCTCCATGCTACGAAGGAGGCTTTAAGATGAATTGCCATTTTGCAGGGTAAGATGGATGTGCTGTTGCAGAGGAGGGAGGGGAATATCCTCGTTGCTTCATAATCTGTCACAGGAGAATGACAAGGTGACTTTCCTGTTTGAAAAATTTCTCTGACATGATGATTTCTCCATTGCAGTACAAGCAGCCAGAGGCAGGGCTGAAGGGAAAGTTCTATGTTTGGTTCTTCCCCTCTAGGTTATGAAATAGTAAAAGCATCTCAGGTTTGGAAATTATTCTGAAATTCCACATCTTCCACCTTTCATGAGATGCGAAAAGGGCCATGGGACAAATGTCATTCATAGAGCTGCTGCTGGGGATCAGCTATGAAAAGCAATGGGCAGCCTGCAGGGAGTTGCAGGTTGCCTGTGTTTCCTCCTTCTGCTATCTGAGTGGTGCTGGGTTTGAGCTTGAGGGTGACCAAGAGCTGCTTCTCCCTGAGGCTTTCTCGCAGCCGCCCATTTGAACGCCAGCTTCTCACCTGTGAGCTTTTGACCCTTTTCCTATAGGAGAGAGCTGGCTGTATAGAGACCGCTACTTTGCTGGCCTCTGACTTGCTAGCACCTGTGGCTGGTTCATGTTTCTTGAACCTGCAATCCTACACACGCTGCAGGACCATTCTGTGGGATCTGATGTGTAATACCGACTGTCCTGTGTTCACAACGCAAGACAACAGCAGATCTGGTAATGGTAACAAGGAGTTTTGTGTTGGGTTGTGGGAGTCAGGGGATCAGCTGGGTCTTTAAATCTCTAATCACCTTGCTAATGGGCTGCAGAAAACCCATGGCTGAGCAGCAAGGTAACCACTCTGTTAAAGTAACACTGGTTTCTGAAAATTACAAAAAATAAAGGTAATGTTTATATAGTTGTGGTCTCCTCCTCCCTCTGCCTCGTAGAGATGCTATGGAAAAATACTATCCAGACTACTATCCAGACAGCCAGGACCCTGTGACTCTGGCATGCAGGCTGAGTGTATGTTGGCTCCATCCCAGGAAGGATGAAGAGGTGTGTGGGACTGGGGAACAGTGACTGCCTTCAGACCTTTCCGGACTCTTTGGTGACTAGCACCAGAGATGAGATGTGGACTAAACAGAGAGGCCTCTAGCAAGAGCCTCCAGAGATGTATAAGGTGAAAGGAGCTCCTATTTGGTAGGAGGCTGGCAAGAGACCTTAAAGGGAGCTCGTCCACAGGGTAGACCTCTGGATGGCAAGTCAACAAGCATTTATTAAACATGGAGGAGGGAAAGGAAAACAGCCTATGCTTGAGAAAACACTGGCCTTTTGAGGAGAAACTGCACCCCTGAGTACCTGCGTGTGCCCACAGGCCCTGCTCTTCGCCTTTTCCCCATGCTGCTTCCTAACCTGTAGACACTCAATTAGATATTAAGTTTTCTTTCAAATAGTCCCAGTGTGGGTGATAACTGTGTTGGTAGGTCATAAAAAGCCTGCTTTTACTTTTTTTTTATTACTTTGGTCTTGAGGAAACGCAACACTTGCCTGGAAATGGCGGGTATTTGTGTACATGCATTTGATCTGCCTTAGAGGTAAAGTGATGGGAGGGATTATCTCATCACAGCTGAGGTGATTGTTGGTTATGATGCACAATCCCCATGCAGTACAAAAACTAAAGAATGAAGTTTCAATAATGAACTTTTTTGTTTTTTAACAGGGGACTGTTGGCTCTTGGCTGCTATTGCCTCTCTCACCCTGAATGAAGAAATTCTGGCCCGTGTTGTTCCCAAAGACCAGGGCTTCCAGGATAAATATGCAGGAATTTTCCACTTCCAGGTAGGTGGAAAACAACCTTCCCCCCAGTGCTGTTGGCCAGGAGCTGGTGTGGCTGGCCATCTCTACGTGTGTGGTGTTTCCTGGAACACTTTGAGGGACATCAAAGTGCCAGGCAGAAAAACAGAGACATCCAAGAAGGGTGATGGTGGTGGAAGGAAGAAGACCGCTAACCAAAGAGCTGGGAGCAGCGGCTGTCTTTGTGGTCCTTCCTCCATCAGCAGATCCAGCTGAGGATGTGCATCCCTGTACGTCCCTGACTGCGAGGGGGATTGCTTTTCCTTTAGGAAATTGGTGTTAGCAGATAAGCATCCTGGTGACCTGAGTGCACGGCATGGGGCAGTGACGAGGTGTTTGTGCTCTTTTTCCAGTTCTGGCAGTATGGGGAGTGGGTGGACGTCGTGGTGGACGACAGGCTGCCCACAAAGAACGGGGAGCTGCTCTTTGTGCACTCGGCGGAGGGCAGCGAGTTCTGGAGCGCGCTGCTGGAGAAGGCCTATGCCAAGTGAGTTGGGGCCAGGGTGGCCCTCCTAGGGCAAGAAAGACTGCTTTTACCCCACTCAAACCTCCTCGAGCCTCTCCTTCCCCACGGCATCCTCAACTGCGTGGATGCTACACATTTAAAATATCAGTCTAATTATTAGCCTTCACAACTTCTAGGGTATCCCACAGTGGCTGCTTCAGTAAAGCTTTGTGAACAACTGCTTAAGATAAGTAGCCAAAAGTGCTGGCTTTGCTGTTAGCCGAGAAAAATAGCCCTTACATCTCATGGCAAGGCTGTTCCTAGAGTGCTGTCTCCTGTGACCGGGACCTGGGAAGCTCTGTTTCATGTGCTCTACACGTCTGTGAGGGCTTGCAGCTGCAGTGCTTCAGCGTGCAAAGCACACCAGTCCACATGCCCAGGTCTCTGTTCAAGGTGAAGATGCTCAAATCTGAATTTCCACTTTTGAGATGGCCAGGGAGGAATTCTGCCATCTAACATTACTATTTTCAATTGACTTAAGAAATTGAGCTAATTTAGATCAGCTGAAAATTAGACCCATAATTGTTTAAAGGAATTGAAAGACTGTGTGGAAATAGAGAGGCAAATTGTTGGGTCTTGATTTTTTTTTTAATTTTTTTTTTTTCTTCAAATAGTGTCCATGATTTTTGTCGTTGCTATGACTGAACCTGCAACCTGTATACATGATCATATTAGGTTTTATGATGGGCTTTCTAAGTACAGAGGTGTAAGAAGCAAAACTGAATGGGGTGTGTGTTTGTAGCTGCTGTGGTGCAGCTCTCCAAGAGAAAAAGGACAATAGGGAACCTGATGGTTGTGTGTGTCCTCTTCTGCAGGCTGAATGGCTCGTACGAGTCTCTCTCTGGTGGCACCACCACTGAAGGCTTTGAGGACTTCACTGGTGGAATTGCAGAATGGTATGAGCTGCAGAAGGCACCACCCAACCTCTTCAAAATCATCCAGAAGGCACTTCAGAAAGGCTCTCTCCTTGGCTGCTCCATTGATGTGAGTTAGTGGGCTTATTGCTGGACGCTCAGCTCTCGCTGTGCGTGTAGGCAGCTGGGGGATGGACCTGTGCTCCATCCGCAGGAGGTGCACAAAGGATGTTGGTCTCCTCTGCCAACGGTTCTCTGTTCTACCTTGTGCCTGGAGAATTTGACCCAAGAGTGTGACACAGGCGTATGCTCGTCTTGGGGGGGGTATGTCTGAGAACAGGTTTGAAATGTAGACTTCATTAGTTCACGTGTAAAAGCTCAGTTTTTTTTTTTCTTCAAGACCTAGAGCTTTTGCTGTTTCATAGCTTCGTGGTAACAAATAGTACAGAGAACTCATTAGGGGTCCTGATCTACATCTTTGTTCTTAAGAAAGCCCATAGCTTGGCAGCAAGTTGGTACAAGCTGAGTGGTTTTGGAGAGAGAGCTGCTGCTAATGGCTTCTGCCATCAGATGCTCAGAGGTGGCAACCTCCGTCCTTGCCATAGCCTGTTTGTCGCACAAATTGTACCAAAACGTTCCCCAAAAATGTGGGCTCTGTTCTTGAAGCAGGGAGGCTCGGACTGTTGCCAGGCCTTTCAAAGGCTTTATGGGAAAACACGTTGCCAAAAACTGAACCTGCATGAGAAGGAAAAGAGGAGCTTTGGCCCTGCGTGCAAGGATTCAGCCTCACTGAAATGAGTCTAAGTATGGCTATTGTGATAATCACCCTGCTCCCAAAGATTACATCTTAGTTATGTCTAAAGGAAAGGTAAACTGTTTACAAGGACCATGTTCATTCAATAAACTCTAGTGTTTCCTCCCATTTTTAAAGTTAAATCAGAGTCACAGGAGAGGGAAGCTTCACAGCAGGAAAAGTACTTGGTTAATGTCAGCGTGCGACTTTGCAGCACTTTTGAGGTCTGTTTTACTCGTTTGCATTTAGATAAGAATCTGACATCTGGATTTTTGCCCCAGAATGATACAAATCTTGTCAGGGGTGGGGGGAGTAAATACATTCCTTTGTTGGTAAGTGCTGACACTTTCTATGTTATAAACTAATTATTAGTGAGTGGGCGTAGCCTTTGAAAAATCCTGTTAAATCTTTTCTTCTCTTCTGTCAGAGAAACAGGGACACAGAGGTTAAGCATTACATGGAGAGTGTACTGCAGGCAGTAATAGGGCATGAACTGACAGCAGGAATCCTGCCTGCTTGATCCCACCCTCTCTTTTTTTTTAAGCTTCGAATATGCTTGTTTAAAGATCACACACCTTCTGAAATGGTGGGAAGGCAATGACAAACGTACGTTTCGTAGAGGTTTAAGCATCTTTAGAGCAAGATGTCGAGCAGTCACTTTCTAGCAAGAAGTGGTTTTTCTCTGCAGTGTTTATAGGCCAGACTGCCCAAGTATTGCAATGGCCCTGAAAAAGTGAGAGGGTGATACGCCTTCAGGTATGAACAGCACCCAAAGTGCATCCTTTTCCCTTGCTCCCCTGCATGGCAGGTCCTAGGGTGGTGGTGCTAGGGAAAGGAAGGGGAGCTTCCCACCCTGCTGTGGAGCTGAAGGGGGTGTTTTGACCTTGAAGCAAAGCATTGGGGCTTGCTTGGGCCTGGGTGTGATCCCTGGTGACCCCTGGGCAGTCTCAGGCTGGTCATCCCCTGTGTTCCTCCTGGTCCCTTAAGAACATGGAGTTCATTGTGTGTACGCGCTTCGTACAGCGTTTGGAGATGCGCGAGAGGAGGTGCACTGTGCTGCACCAAGCGTTTTGGAGCTTTGCTGCAGTGCAGGGCTTCTGGCGTGCACCCCATGCCGTGAACGTGGGCCCCGGAGGCTCCAGCACCGCCACACGTGCTGCTGTCCCCTCTCCCCGCTCTGTCACACAGATGCCTCTCATTACCTCTGTGCAGCAGCTAAACCACCCCAGCAGCCTCCCAGCAAGACTAAAGCTCCGTTAGAAGGGGAAGTTTTGCTCCATTGGATCCCCTGCCGCGCGGAAAGCCACGCTTAACCAAGCTTTTTTGCTCTTCCAGATCACCAGTGCAGCAGAGACCGAGGCAGTCACTTCCCAGAAGCTGGTGAAGGGACATGCGTACTCGGTCACTGGGGCAGAGGAGGTAGGTGTGTCACCCCAAAGGGGCAAAACGCAGCAAGCTTTGTGCGTGGCCTGGGCCATGGCAGCCACAAATTCATCTTCAATGTTGCAAATTCTCCAGTCTCACCTGTTTTGCCAAATCAGGTTTTGAGTCCTTTCTTTCTGAAGAACTACTGAATTAGTTGCTGTGTTTTAGATAAACACAAACTTGACTTCTTGGGGTTTTGACCAAAAAAAACCTTTTTTTTTTTTTTTTTTTTTCTTTTTTCCATGAGCACTGCTGTTTCCCAGTGAGCAGGGCGGTGGGAAGCCCTGTGCAGAAGGCACACTACCCTCTGCTGGTGACCAGGCCCCTCAACACATTTCTGTATAGCAGGCAGCACTGTGCTTTACACGCACAGATGTGTGAGGGATGTGTGCCAAGCAAAAAAAAAAGATATATTATTGTCCTTTACATGCCTGCCGAACAGCGCCTTTCGGCAGGGCACGGTGTTCAAACGCAAGGTGCCTGTCCAAGAGCAGGTGACTGGCAAAGGTAAGGTGGGTGAAAACAAAAGAAGCAGATCGTGGCGTCCTTCTAGGTGTGTAATGGACTTTAAGTCACTTTACGGATAATTGTTTCTGAAATAATTTCTGAAACTTCAGAATGAGGTGTAGAGAGCTGCTGACATGCTGCGCTGGGGTGGACGCTGCTAACGGGCAGGTTTATGTGCTTGCGTTTGGTCCTCCTCTCACAGCAAAAGCAATGAAGGGGGAGTTTGGCCTTAATTCACAAACAGGCATGATTTAGCCAGGCTTTTCCTTTGGAGGTATGTACAGGCTTTGTAAGGGTAGTTCATCTTTGGCACTGGAGCATCATTTCTGGACTCTGCGCTGCTGATGTTTTGTGCAGTTCTCTTGGCTTCAGGCTCTAGAGGTGCTCCAGCTCCTTCCTCAAATTAGTGCTCCGCATTCCCCATAAATACTGGGTGTTCCCATTGAAACTCAGCTTTGCTTGGCCTGGACTTTGTGCACACAGAGATCAGCAGATAACAAGCCAGGGCCTCGGGGCAGTGCAAGGAGGTGCTGTCATGGCGGGGCTGACACTGCTGCGCCGTGGGGCGTTGGTGTGGTCAAAGGGGTTGTGGCCAGCTTGAGTATCCCGTTTCTTGTAATACGTGCCGTTCAGAATATATACAGGGAGGGGAAAAAAGCATTTGAATGTGAAAGGGCAGTTTATACATAGATGATGGCTTTAAGGAAATATCCCCTTGTACCTGCTTTTTGCCAGTCCTGTAGCAGCTTTACATTCCCTTTGCTTGAAATCCTATCGGGGTAACTTTTTTAGCGGCACAGAACCGTCTTTTTGGTTATCATGAGCTTTGATTGCACAAAATCCTTCTCTGGACAAGCTTGGGTGCATGGAGCTCATTCAAAATCAGTTTAACTCCATGTCTTTTGGACCAGATGAGTGCATGTTTGTGTACATATGCTTTAGTGTTTGTGTGGCACAGAGATACTTACTCTGTCATGTCCTTTAATTCCCATAGAAAAGGTGGAAGGGGGCACAGTGCTGAGGCCCTGGGTAACTCTCCATACACTTCTGATCCCATCAGGTGAACTTCCGAGGAACGGTGCAGAAGCTGATCAGAATCCGAAATCCCTGGGGGGAAGTGGAGTGGACGGGAAAGTGGAACGACAAGTGAGTCGTGGCTTGTGTGTTGCCTACAGGCTTTTACTGCAGGGGTATGATTATGTTTCTGCTGTCGCTTGTCTTCTCCCTACCTCAAGTTCCTCTCTAAGTCACATCTGGATGTGATGTTCACTCTGAGCTGTTTCAAAGAAGCATCCCACCACTGTTGTCTCCCACGCAGGCATCGCAGCACGCAGTGCCCTTCATACAAATGCCTGCCTTTCTGTAAAGTGCAGTGATTCGGTTGGCGGTTCCTACAGGCTTCTGTGTAGCTTCTGCTTCTTTAACAGCCCAGGTTCAGTGGTGAGCTTCTGAAAACTTACTTTCTAAAAGGGCCTTAAAAATCTGTTTCTGTCATTAGCAACAAAAGCTGGAGTTTACTCACTTCTGTGGCTGGGCGGTATTTATTCTGCATCTTGCTTTTTCTAAAATAAAGCTCCGTCTCAGTCAAGGCATTAGCACTTTCTGCAAATAAAGGTCTGTTTCTGATCCTTACCTTCGATATTTAAGTAGTGAGATACTGAATATCTCAGGTCCCTGTATTTAATTCTGCGATGGTTTGAGAGCCCTGGAGCTGCTATCAGCTAGATATTGTGGAGTAATGCAATTGCATGGAGCTGTAAGAAAGTGAAATCGTTGTGCCAGAACAGCTACGTTAGCGTTTAACCTTTACCGTATGCTGTAGTTGATGTGGGGTTGTCTTCCAGCTGCCCAAACTGGAGCGGCGTTGACCCAGAGGTGCGGGAGCAGCTGACCAGGAGGCACGAAGATGGGGAATTCTGGTAAGTAGCACTGGGTTTCCATTCAGGCTGAAGGGAATGTCTTCTCCTCTGCTTTTTTCCACATAAAGTAACCTCTCCCAGTACACTCTTCAAGATGAGTGAGCAAATTCACCCCAAATCCTAGTGCTAAATTGCAGCGGGAGAGAGGGAGGATAGACAAGGTGGTTGTATAGAAAACCTATCCCTTGTAAGGAGACATTGTCTGTGGCATTGCCTCCCACAGGATGGCGTTCAACGACTTCTTGAGACATTACTCGCGCCTGGAGATCTGCAACCTGACTCCAGACACGCTGGCAAGTGACAGGTACAAGAAGTGGAGCCTGCTGAAGCTGGATGGGAACTGGAGGCGAGGAGCCACTGCAGGGGGCTGCAGGAATTACCCAAGTAAGAGAAACCGGAGAAACCCTTTACTCGTCCGCTTGTGCTTTCTCTGGGAGCTGGTTTGGGGTGGCCTGTGGAGGAGGAGGATGCATCTGGGATATCCGAGACTGATGTCCAAGAAGTGCAAGTGTTTGGGAAATGCGGCTCCCTGATGAGGGTCTAGTTGTGGTTGTAAAGGCGGGGGGGAGTGTTAGTTTTTCCTTCTCACAGCTGATTGTGGAAATCAGAGCCTCATCTGTCCTAGCCAACATATATGCATCAGCATAGCTGCTTTCAAAGAAACCTCTGAGCAGTTTGCATAAATCCAATTCCCAGACACTTTCTGGACGAACCCACAGTATTTAATCAAGCTGGAGGAAGAAGATGAGGATCCCGATGATCCTGAGAGGGGCTGCACTTTCCTTGTTGGCCTGATTCAGAAGCACCGGCGGAAGCAGAGGAAGATGGGAGAGGACATGCACACCATTGGCTTTGCGATTTATGAGGCAAGTAAGGCAGTACAGGTGCATGGGAGGAAAAGGAAAACTCATGTAGCCTATAAATGGGGTAGTGCAGTTCTCAGACTGGGCTTTCTATCAAAACTCAGCCAGGTTGAGTTGGACACCAGCTGCAGCAAGGAAGATTCCACTTAGATGTTAGAAAATTATCCTCCACAATCAAGCCCAGGGACAGGTAACCAGAGAAATGATGGCATCTGCGGTCCTGGAGATATTCAGACCTAGGCTGGACAAGGTCCTGAGCAATGTCATTAACTTTGATGTTGGCCTTGCTTTGAGTAAGGGGTTGGACCAGATGACCTACAGAGGCCCCTTCCCACCTATAATATTCTGCGCTTCTAGATGGAGGAGCAGAAAAAGTATTTAAAACTAAAATAAAAGTGCAGAAATCCAGTCTGACCTTCGTTTGTCAGGCTGTGGTGAAAAGCAGCAGAATGAGAGCAGCCGTGGTAGGGGTGTCACGCTAGCTGGGACACCTGCACTAGCTTGGGGAGTGTGCACCCAGCAGCAGAACCAGCCAAAACACCTGTAAAACTCCTTCTGCTGAATAAAGGGTCAGAGACGTGTCTATGGTAACTCCTTAAGCAGGACATTTTGTTCAGAGCTGCAAAGCAGCAACGGTTAACTGGTAGTGAAAATAGGAATAATGGTCTTGCCTGCGGGTTGCTCTGTAACCATAGGCAATATGTGCAACTGCTTGCTTTCTCAATATCCCAGCTTTGGAAAAGCTTGTCAAAGAATCTGGTCCCCATAGGCAAATACGGTTTAAAGCAAAGCTGGGTCCCCTGAACCTGTAAGGAAACGGAAAACTGCATTATTGTCTTGCTCAGCCCCTGCCTTCTCTCCTGATGGTGGGAGAGGTCGGAGGGGTGGGAGGGTGAAAGAGAAGGTGGAAAGAAATAGTAGAGTAACTGAGTCTACAAAAAATATCACAGTGGGCCGCAGGGTAGAGGGTCAGCAGGCCACGACCAGGCTGGCTGTGTCTGCGCTGGGCTGTGCCTACAGTGCTTGGGGTGAGCCCCACCTGCCTCCGGGATGGAGCCGGGACCTGAGCCAGCAGGCAGTGTTGGGTGACGTGGGCTCAGCGCCCCTTGAGCTGACTCTTCTTTTTTTTTTTTTTTTTTTTTTTTTTTTTTTTTTTCCATGGGGGGGGGGGTGTTTC